TTTCAGAATATTTCAGAATATTTAAGGTTGGAAGGGACCTCTACAGATCATCTAGTCCAACCTTCCTGCTCAAGCAGGCACACCTAGAGCATGTGGCACAGGGTGGCATCCAGGCGGGTTTTGAAGACCTCCAGAGTAGGAGACTCCACAACCTCCCTGGGCAGCCTGTTCCACTGCTCTGTCACCCTCACAGTAAAGAAGTTGCTCCTCACCTGGAGACGGAACTTCTTATGCTTCAGCTTGTGGCCATTACCCCTCGTCCTATCGCTGGCCACCAGTGAGAACAGCTTGTCCCCTTCCTCCCTGCATTCTCCCTTCCTGAACTTATACATATTAATCATATCCCCTCTGAGCCGTCTCTTCTCCAGAGAAAAAAGGCCCAGCTCACTCAGCCTCTCTTCATACGAGAGATGTTCCATTCCCTTAATCATCCTGGTTGCCCTTCTCTGGACCCTCTCCAGAAGCTCCACGTCCTTCCTATACCGGGGTGCCCAGAACTGAACACAGTACTCCAGGTGCGGCCTCACCAGAGCTGAGTAGAGGGGCAGAATCACCTCCCTTGACCTGCTGGCAACGCTCCTCCTGATGCAGGCCAGGATGCCATTGGCCTTCTTGGCCACGAGGGCACACTGCTCACTCATGGTTAACTTAGTGTCAACCAGGACTCCCAGGTCCCTCTCCGTGGAGGTGCTTTCCAGCAGGTCAACCCCTAATCTGTACTGATGCCTGGGGTTATTCCTCCCCAGGTGCAGGACCCTGCACTTGTCCTTATTGAACCTCATGAGGTTCCTCTCTGCCCAACTCTCCAGCCTGTCCAGGTCCCTCTGGATGGCAGCACAGCCCTCCGGAGTGTCGGCCACTCCACCCAGCTTGGTGTCATCCGCAAACTTGCTCAGGGTGCATTCCGTGCCCTCGTCCAGGTCATTGATAAACAAGTTGAACAGCACTGGGCCCAGTACTGACCCCTGGGGGACACCACTGGCCACAGGCCTCCAGCTGGACTCGTCCCCATTTATGACCACCCTCTGAGCTCTGCCATCTAGCCAGCCCTCGATCCACCGCACCGTGCACTCGTCTAGTCCACTGTCCCGGAGCTTCCATATGAGGATGTTATGGGAGACAGTGTCAAAAGCCTTGCTGAAGTCAAGGTAGACAACATCCACGGCTCTCCCCTCATCCAGCCAGCCTGTCACCCCATCATAGAAGGCTATGAGGTTCGTCAGACATGACTTCCCCTTGGTGAATCCATGCTGACTGCTCTTCAGCAGCTTCTTCTCCGCCATGTGCCCGGAGATTCTCTCTAGGATGAACCGCTCCATCACCTTTCCAGGGACAGAGGTGAGGCTGACCGGCCTGTAATTGCCCGGCTCCTCCCTCTTGCCCTTTTTGAAGACTGGAGTGACGTTGGCTTTCTTCCAGTCCTCGGGCACCTCCCCTGCTCTCCAGGACCTCTCAAGGATGATGGAGAGAGGCTGAGCAATAACCTCGGCCAGTTCCCTCAGCACTCTTGGGTGCATCCCATCTGGGCCCATAGATTTTTGAGTGTCCAATTTGCCTAAGTGATCCCTAACCCAATCCTTCTCAACCCGTGGAAGGTCTTCTTCTAGCCCATTTACATCTCTTCCCTTTGTGCCCTGCAGTTCATGGGGGGTCGTCTTAGCAGTAAAGACAGAGGCAAAGAAGGCATTTAGTAACTCTGCCTTCTCGGCATCCTCCGTCACCAAGGCCCCTTCCCCATTCAGCAGTGCACTAACATTTTCCCTCGTCTTCCTCTTGCTATTGACATACTTATAGAAACCGTTCCTGTTGTCTCTGACTTGCCTCGCCAACTCTAATTCCACCCGGGCTTTGGCCTTCCTCGTTTCGCATCTGCAATCTCTGACAATGTGCCTGTATTCCTCCCACGTGGCCTGTCCCTTCTTCCACAAGCTGTACACCCTTTTTTTCTCACTCACTTTGTCCAGTAATTCCTTACCCATCCATACAGGTCTCCTGCCCCACTTACTCGACTTCTTTTTTGTGGGGATACACCGATCTTGAGCTTGGAGGAAGTGGCGCTTGAATATCAGCCAGCTCTCCTGGACCCCCTTTCCTTCTAGGACCCTGACCCAGGGGACTGCTCCAAGGAGCTTCCTGAAGAGGTCGAAGTTGGCTCTCTTGAAGTCCAGGGTAGCTATTCTACTTCTCGCCCCACCTCCTCCCACACTAGGGAAGGTGAGCGGCAGTCTTTCCAAAGGAAAAGAATGACTGCAACAGAAACAGAACCTGGTAGCAGCCAGGCTCAAGGTGAAGTAAAGAGAGAGACTATTAATTCAGAAGGCCTGTGTAGTATATGCTGAAAAGCAGGGAATAATTCATAAGTTGAATTTATATGTGTATACATTTTTCTCTTGCCCTTACATATACACACATACATACTGACCTTATCCAACAGACCTGTATTTTCTCCATAAAACTATATTGTTTTAATTCACAGAATCACAGAATGGTTAAGGTTGGAAGGGACCTCTAGAGACTATCTAGTCCAATCCGCCTGCTCCAGCAGGGACACCCAGAGTGCATAGCACGGGAGAAGCTCTAATAAAACCCAACTTCTGAAATTCAAAGGTCTGTAGTCATTTGGGGATGCTTACAGAAGGGAAAATGTATAAATAGATGCAATTTAAAGCTCTGGCTGATTCAAGGATTCTTTCACTTACATATTGCTCTATTTTCAAAAGATACAACTGTGTTTTCTGAAAATGAAAGTTCAACATAAATATTCTGAAATGTAAAAAGTCTATTAAATAGTACTTATGTAAATTATGCTAGAGTCAAAATGTCTTATTTGATCTAGACTTTACATGGTGTATGAAATGTACAGATAGATATGAAGAACTCAATAATAGTTTATTTTATTATTTATTTCTGAAATACTATTTTTAATTGTGAAGTATTACTTCAAACTGATCACCTGATCACCAAACTGAATACCTTTAATTACAAAATCTTTGGCACAAAAGTACTTCATTTTAACATTTAGCGTTTTAATATATGATCAATATATTAAGGTGAATGGTTTTCTGCTTGTATACAAAACTCAAAATCAGAAACTCAATAGGTGTAGTCTGTGATGGTGCATGAGAATTACTGCTGTGGGAGGGTAAAAACAATGTAGGGCCTTTTCATTGTCCAAGCCGAGAAGAGAAAAAAGTCAATAAAATATCACCTGTGAAAAACTTAAAATGGCAAAATAGCTTCCGAGTTTTAGTATCCTTCCTGATTTTGCTGTTTTCTGTCTGCTTTATGTTGGCAGCTCTTTTCTGAACAAGAACAAGCACAACTGTGAGAAAAGCCAAATCATGACAAGCTAGTCCTGTGCAAAATAAGAGCAGTGGAGCAGACTGCGTGTGGACAAGCTCCTTTTTCCCCAGAACTGAAGAGTGCTCCCACCCCAGGAATCATTTTGAGCAAACTTCTCGGGTCCAGCATGTTCTAGAGATGCTTTCTTGCTTAGGACACTCCATGTCTGGGAAAGTCCCTGTTCTTCTCAGTACTGCAGTTCTTGTCCTGTAGCCCTATACCCACAGAGGATGATGCAGCCGTGACCACAACCACGAAGCACACGGCATCCTGGAGGGCTAACAGGGACTGGGCTGAAATTCAGCACACTTTGGAAAGGCCGTCAATTCCCCACTGCAGTGAGATACTTCATACCCTATGTTTCTTTTGCAGCTTTCTGTGCCCCTGCAAGTGTGTATCAGAGCACACGTATCCCTGATCCTTAAAGTCCCAGGTTGCAGATTTGATTACAAAATGCAGATTAAGTTACAATTCTGGGATTCTTGGCTCTGAACCTCTGTATCTACCTGAACACGAGGCACTTCTTCAATGTTTTACCCCTGCAAGAGGGAAGAATGGGCCTAGGCCACGGAGAAATTGCGTGGTATGCAAGAGAGCCTTCTGGATTTGGGGAAAACTGTCTTTGATGTCTGTCTGGATAAGCCAAATGCCCAGATGCACACACCCATTGGAGGCCTTTATGTATGTGGAAAAAAAAAATAAATTCAAACAAACAAACAAATCCTTGTCCAAATACCCAGCTTTCAGGCTAGTTTCTGATATTTTGAAGGTGACACTTGGGAACCAAGACACCGTGACACAAAAAGCGAGGGAAACCTTGGGTGCTTGCGGAGGCAGGATGGTGCCACACACAAACGCACACAACCCGCGCACACCCCTTCTCCCCGGGCACCGAACCTTGGATCCCTCGCCCGCAGGATCTGCGGCTCCCTCGCCCGGGATCCTGCTACACAGGGCTCGAACAGCGCGGCCGGGGCGCCCCGCTCGTGTCGGGGCGGCCTCCTGCAGCACCCCCGCACCGAGCCCGCAACGCCGCGCAGGGGGCAGCCAAGCGGCCGTTATTGCCCCCCCGCCGCGAGGCGCCGGTCGCGCAGCCCGGGGCAGGGCCGCCTCCATGGCCGCCGCGGCGGGAGCGGGGGGCGGGAGGGTCTCCGGCCCGGGGGCAGGGGCGGCGGGGCAGC